CCCCAAAACCCCAAAACCCCAAAACCCCAAAACCCCGAAATGTATTTAAATATAGAAAGATAGAACTTTAATAAAAATATTATTTTCAGCATGAACTATTTGGGAAAAGTACAGTTCGAAGAAAATCTTTCAGAAGAATTTCTTGATGAAGAAGTCTCCTCTTGTAAGGTGAGAAGTTCAAGCAAGATCTTTGAGAATATGGAAGTGAAATCCCTGAGCAGTAAGAAAGAGCCTAGCATTAGCAAGCTAGGGGGTACTTGATTCAGCAACTGGCTTCAAACTGAGAAAAGTCCTGAAAGAACTACTTTTTCTAAGTTTAAAAAGCCTAGAGCTAGTTTATTTAACCATGGCCATGAGCAAATAGAGCTTTGTGATAAAAGTGATGATGGTAAAACAGTTAGCTCTCTTAAGAAAGACATCAGTAGCCTTCTAAAATGTGTAGCAAGAATCAAGCGTATGGAGGCAAAGAGGGACTACAATATTGGAAAAGAGCAGACTGCTCAGCTAAATAGATTTAATCAAGGTTCTCCATGTTCTCAATATATCACTATGAAAGATGTGAGCCCTTGATAAGAACTGAAATATCTAATTTCTAAAAAATTACCTATAAATTCTTCTTGAGTTATCTCCTAGACTGAAAGAGTCTTTTATTAGCATATTTTTTAATAAGTCTTTAAATAAGGGTCCTTCTGACTTATTAAGTTTGCTCTTAGAAATTTTTGACAAATAAAAATATTGTCGACTCTTGAAACTCAAGTTCACCAAATCATGATTTCAAAAAGTATGCCTAAGTTTTGAACTTAAAATACTAGGCTTACTTGTTGTTCACTGTATTCTTTTTTGCTTCAGAAGGCCTAAGATGATCACAGAATATAATAGAAGCATTAATAAAGACCAATACTGCCTTAGAACTATTTTAATAATTTTTCAATTGCTTCAAAAATTCCACTTATTTGTACAATGAGGTTTACTCCAAAAAGAAAGTAAAAACTTTCGTTTAATTTTTAGCGCTACACTTTGAAGTTTAACTGCATTATTTGCTTCAACAGGATAAGTTCTTTTTGCTCTAAATTGATAAGATTCAATTAAAATAATTCTCTATAGACTTAGTTTATTAGCATATTTTCATTGCTACATTTAGCTAAAACTCAAATTTGTAAGTTCGGGCTTAGTTGGAGAAGATTTAGAATGCCTAATATTTAGCTATATTATTATCTAATTCTTGTGACAAGGTTTAATTCTACTAGTTTTATTTAGATCCTCTCTCAAGATAAGCTTTTAAACTCGCTATAAGTGTTCAAGATCTTTAGAAGTGATAGTCACATACAAGAAGGTTTAAATACTTTTTAACCTTTTTGGTCTTATCAAATAAGGTCTTGAGTAAGACTTACCAGAAGGTTTTATTAAGCTTAGTAAGAAAGTGTAAAAGCTTAAAATATCAGTACTTTATGTTACGTCTTTTAATGACTTCTAATAACTGCAAAGTAATTGTGTGTCAACCGATTATGGAAGTCTGTTAAATATATTTTTGGGTAAGCAATAACTTAATACTTTAAAATTTAACAGAGAGATTTTAACAAATAGATTAAAGTTATAATGTATCAATTTTAGTGATAGAATCATTACATTTAGGCTCGTTCAAGTCTTACTTGTAGATGAGTTGACAAATTGTTAAAACTGTTACTCCTCAAATTTTCATAGAACTCCACTGGATTATGAAACTAGTTCAAAAATACTCCAATTATTACATATTCTGACATATTTTCAAAATCTATTGATACAAGAGGTTGATAGCCTTATTCTACAATCTCTATTAAACTACAATTTTTTCTAAAAATCTGCAATCTCAAGGAAGAATGAAAGCTGGTATATCGACATTTGTCTCAAATGATTTTGTGGGAGCATTTCTTCATATCTAAAGATAAAGTACTTCATTAGGACCTTAAACTTTCTTTACCCCTTATTTAATTTTGGAACTAAGCGAACACTGAAATACTAGAGGTATACTTCAATTAGGAATTTTGAAGAACTTAGTAATGTATGAAAGTGTTATGGGAAGGTGTTAGTTCATCACACTGAACACTTGGACTGGCTACTATACCCAACCAAAGAGGGTTTAACTTCCATTTATAGTGTTGTGGAAAAATTTAAGGGTTTATAGAGAAAGTGGGTAATGCTCGAATTTGATATGTGAAAATTTGAATGGCGAAATTGATAAGACTTCTATAAATATATGAAAAATTATCTATTTATAGTTAAGAATTGAGTAGATAAATTGAAATAGGCATTAAATTTATCGAAAATGTATTCAGGAAAGATAGCAATAGAAGAAATTTTAATCGATTTTTTACTATATATTTCAAAAGCTGTAGGCTTCTCAGAAAACCAAAAAGGTTGGCCTGAAAATAATAAGATTTCTATGTATTTATTTAGCTGAAGAAATAAAATAGAATTAACCCAATTTGAGATAGGCAATTTTAAAATTTTCTCAGAGATACTGAAATCTCAATTTCTTGACAAAATTTTATTTTCTATCAATTTTAAAATTATCTCATATTTCTTCAAGAAAACTCCATCTAATCCCTCTCTTCATTGCACAATCATCCAATCAACTAACCCCCAAATCCCTCCCATCCAACTTCCTTCCCCATCCCTCTTCCCCCACTCCTCCCTAACCACCCCTCCCTCTAACCCCCAAACCTCTCCACCACCATCCATAATAATTTACTACCTCAACCCCCACACAAGCCACTGGGGTTTTGGGGTTTTGGGGTTTTGGGGTTTTGGGG